TTATGCCCAGCAGCCTTCTCTCTGCTTGGTTTCCTTTGGCCCATGACTGGGATAGATGGGTGACATCGGTTGCTCTTAAAGGAGGCACTTCATGCCGGGCATGGTGGGACACGCCTGTAATCCCAGCACTTGGGAGGCTGAGGCAGGAGGACTGCTGTGAGTTCAAGGCCATCCTGGGCTGCATAGTAAGCTCAAGGCCAGACATAGCAAGACACAGGAGTGGCTAAGCCCTGAGCCTGTAGGCATCAGTGAGGCAGATTAAGAATAGTGCAAGTCTTTATGGTAACCTCAGGGGTGTCTAACCTGCATGGCCTGGCCTAGTCCTGCTCTGGCCTTTGCCAGAATTGGTGAATTGCCTGCGGTTTTGCTAGTAAATCTCTTACTAATGAGGAAGTAGGACACTGCAAGACAGCTAAAAACTCATGGTTGAACATCTGGCTTTTGAAGCGATGTGTCAGAGCTGGAGTAAAGAAGCTCTGACTAGGGCTCCCCTCAACCCCGATTATGGCCAGAGATCTAGAGGCTTTTCCAGAGAAGGAAGTCAAAATGGAAGCTGAAGGAACAGAAATGGCTTACCCATGACATCCAGGGGCCCCCAGGGTCTCTCGCAGGAGATAGAGGTGTCTGTGGACAGGGCTTCTTTAGTCTAATTTGTTAGAGCAGGGGGTGAGGGTTTTGGCTGGCCTGGTCCCTCTCTGGGAAAGGGGACAGTCAGACCCTCAGCGCTACACATCAGGCACATGGGCCACCTGACACACAGAACCGGGCCTGGCGGGGGCTGTGAGCAGCGTATACCCAGTGTCCAGTTTTCTTGGAGGTCTTGATTGGCCCTGGAGTTTTCCTTGGACAACCTGGCTGTGCGTAAAGCCTTGCCATGATTTTGGTCTGTCTTTTTCTCAGCTCTTCTCCTTTCATCCTGATCCTAGATCCTGATTGTTGAACATAGAAAAGGCCATGGCCAGCAATTGGGTTATATTTGAAAATACTGGAAGCCCGGCATGGTGGGGCACACCTGGAATCCCAGCACTCTGGAGGCTGGGGCAGCAGGATCGCTGTGAGTTCAAGGCCAGCCTGGGCTACATAGGGAAACCCCGTCTCAAAAAAAATGAAAAAACCAAACAAAAAAAGAAAAAGGAATAGCCGGGTGTGGTGGCACATGCCTGTAATCCCAGCACTGGGGAGGCTGAGGCAGGAGGATTGTTGCGAGTTCGAGATCAGCTTGGGCTACAAAGTGAACTCAAGCCAGCCTGAGCCGCATAACGAGACCCTGTCTCAGAAAGACAAAATAAAAAAAAAAAAGAAGCACTTCAAACCTTAAGCCCATTAGTTCTCTCCAACCCTCACCCCTCCTCTGGCTATAAAAATTGCCCAGGGAGCCAAGTGTGGTGGCACACACCTGTGATTCCAGCACTCAGGAGGCTGAGGCAGGAGGATTACCAGAAGTTCAAGGCCAGCCTCAAGTGTGTAATGAGATTCTGTCTCAAAAAAAGAAAAGAAATGTACAGGGCTGGACTCTGTTTAGCTGATGAGAGCTGGACATGGGACTTTGTTAAACTGTATGTAAATTATCTGAGTCAAAATGAAGTCACTGACAAGCCAGGGGTGGTGTCGCACACCTGTAATCCCAGTACTTGGGAGGCTGAGGCAGGAGTACTGTTGCAAATTTGAGACCAGCCTGGGCTACAAAGTGAGCTCAAGGCCAGCCTCAACTACATAGGGAGACCCTGTCTCAAAAAGACCAAAAAAAAAAAAAAACGG